GCCGCTTTTTATACCACATGTTCATATGGCCTGCCAGACGAGATATTTTTTCGGGAACTTCGATAGTTTGATGATTTTGAAAATTTCAGTCACCTTCCCTTTTCTTGAGGCGGTATAAAACTCCTGTCCCGGAAGCAGCTTGAAATCTGCCTTCACATAAGTTTCGTCGTCCATGACGACACAGTCGAACTTTGTGAGTAGATTCGTATACAGCTTTTGGGACCGCTGCTTTGCCGACGTGTTTTTTTAAATCTCTGTTCGCCACCTTCGCCTCGTCGACAACCCGGCTCGTTTCTTGGCCCGCTGCACAGTAGTATGGGAGACATTGAGATTGCTTATATTATGTATTGCTTATATATATATATGTATATAACACTTATATTTCACCGCCACCTTCTTCGTCGTCGCTGCCCTGTCCGGATTACGATTGCCGCCATTTCCAGGCTTCCTGGCTTCGGCAGACGCTCCCCGAAAACTTTGAAAACGTTTGTCACGGTCGATTTGGCCACATCCAGCAATTTTGCCAACTTGGCGTGTAAGAATGTCGGATACTCTTACTGTGCGAGGAAAATTTTGACACTTGCTCGGACTTCATTTTGAAAACTGGATAGCAAACGGTGAAAACTCATCATAGCAACCATTGTTTATACACTCAACTTCCAAATGCAGCATTTCAGGTTATTTGTATGCATGTTTAACTGAACTACACTAATTTGAAGTTGACCGATTTTTGCGCGTTCCAGACTTTAGTAGAGGCTCTTGGATCTTCACTGAAGTTCTTGAAACTATCCTGAAATATATGGAACTGTCCTGAAGCTATCGAAACTTCCATGTTGTTCTGAGCATTTTGTACAATCTTGATGTTTTCGGATTTTCCTTTAAACTCTTGGAATTTTCATAAACTCTCAGATCTTTCTGAAGGTTCACGCATTTTTTCTGATAATAATGGAAGTAAAGTTTTCAAAATTTTCCAAAGTTCTTGGAACATCATTTACGTTCCCACAACTTTATTGAAGTTTTCTGTGCTTTGTTCTTGGAACATCCGAAAAAGTTCCTGTTATTATTATGAAGGTAATCGAGTGCACCTGAAGTTCTCCGAATTTTCTTGAAGTTTTTGAAACTTCCATCAAGTTTTCACCATTTTCCGGATGTTCATGTAATGGTGGCCATGAAATTCTCAGAACTTTCCCAAAGCTCTCTGATTTTTTTCTAAAGATCTTTGAACTCACCTGAAATTTTTCAAAGGTCTTCTGGAGTTTCTAGAATTTTCTTGAAGTTCTCTGGTCTTCATCTAAGTTCACGAAATTTTCCTATACTTCATATAACTGAACCAAATTTCTCCGAACCAAGCCATAATGATCTTTAATTGTCCTCTAAGTTCTGGACTTTCCTGTAGTGCTTGAAACTTTCCTGTAGTTCTTGGAAGTTTCCTGTAATTTTTGGAAGTTTCCTGAAGTTTTTGAAGGTATTTGAACACTTCTGTAATTCACTAAAGTTCTTGGAACATCACTGATGTATTCGAAATTAATCTACAGAGCTCGGAACTTTCTTATTTTTTTTCTGTAGTTCCCTGAATTTATCAGAACATCTATAATTTTTCTGTTAGTTTACTTGAAATTAATGGGACTGTCCTGAAGTTTTCTGATATGTACCATGAAATCAAAATGTTTACAATCGAATGAACCAATATTTATACATTCACAAGCTATTTTTTTTAGTGTGTTTGGATTATGTTGTGTATGCAAATACGTATAAATTACCAGGGGAAAACGTGTCATTCTACACAATTTAACAAGGAAGTTTACGTAATGGACATGATCATCATGTAAGTTTACATGACTTGCATGTAAACTTACATGACAAGCTTGTACATTTACAAATGTGGATCTAATGAGCGCTTGGTTATATTACAAATTTTGTAGGTATTTATTGACGTAGGACTACGTCTGTGAATTCTATAAGGGGGTACACTTTGTGAAAACCGAAAATGGAACTTGTAACAAAATTATGAAAGATTTTGAGCGTTAATAACTCAGCTGCCCCTGGTCGAATTTCAACAATGTTATCACCAATCTATCAGATATATTCCTAAGCATTTGCTAAATTTAAGACTTTATCACTTTTCAAAATGTCACTATTGAAAATTGCACGAATGTGCAATTGTTGTTATGATAAAAATAAAGAAGCTAAAAATAAGATCATCACCGATTGCCTGCGAAAATCGATTTCCCTAACACAGATTTCTAAGTTGAATTCCAACTGGTCTCACCAAACGGTGTTTATTTAATCACCGCGTGGTGAGTGGGGGTATTCTCCAGTACACAACGAAAGGCTACGAAAGCAGTCCACATGAGCATCCATAGAAAGAGGAAGAAGCCGCACCGCTATTGATAGGAATCAGTAGCTCTTCGGAGTTGCTATGGGCTATCTATGTCAAGCGCGTTATACTAAAGAGTATAAACAAACAGAGATAACCCCGCTCAAATTCCTATTACTACACAAAACACAGGCTCCTGCTGCAGTTGACAATTAAGATTTATTATATAAGACCACGTAGTCCTACCCCTACGTCACCATTGCATACAACCCCATAGGGCTGTCCTTTGTACACGCAAACCAAAAATCTATTACAACGAATGTTAGTTCCGTTTCCTATCATCCTCTGTTCATGAACATCGCAACGAATGTTAGAAATTGACCATGCAGGCGATGTAATGGTTTTTTGTCTTTTTTATTTCGTGTTCTATCTACGCTTTCGACAATACCAGTAAGCTTGTAGAACGACGCACATTGTAGAACATTGTAGAACGACACATACACTTGCCTCGAATCTCTCCAGCAGAAAAAGCATACGAAGTCGAGTATGCGAGAGAATGAGCGCTTCATGTTTGCTTTTAGGCTATCCATATTCAGAAGCATGAAGGGAGCAGTGGATAAAGCACAGGTCTGATAATCGCAACGTTCGTGGTTCGAGTCCAGTCGGCAGTCTGTTTCCTATTTTTTTCGCCATAACTAATTTACCTCACTAATACACTCTACATTTTTCGGTCTCCAATTTTCTTGCATTGGACCACAGCTAGGTACATCGCATCCTCGGTTCATGCGGTCTCCACTAACATCCTCTGACGAGGAATCACACATTATTGTAAGCGAATCTTACATCCTCCGGTTGGGTGTAGTTTTTATCACGATGGGTGGAACAATATTTATGCTCCTTCATGAGTAACCAAAAGTTTTGATAAAAGGCTATAAGTGGCTTAAGCAGCTTGGTTGAAGGTGGTCTATAGAATTCTAAGAAGCCTCATTTTTAAGTTGTTTGATAATTGAAGAGCATTATAAGCAGCTTCTGGTGGAACTTGCACGAAACTGTTAGAAAATAAGTTAAAAAAAAAGGTTTTTGTCCTCTACACCAATTCTGTATTAAGTTCGCACTTTTATGAAAGGTAATTCTAAAGTCAGGTCTGCATGAAAGTTATTTCTAAAGGCAGTAGTAGTAGTATTGGTGAGTTGTTTGAAGATTTAAACCCAGTCTTACCATAGAGAGGGGTTCGTGGATTTTCCTATGTTTCAAGGGGTGCATCGATTAGCTTGGAACCGAAGAGAGTACCAAAGCTGAGCCAAAAAGTTGAGCACGTTTCTTCGGGGCCTTCTGGTCTTAGAGTTACCAACCGGTGGAAACTATAGATTTAAAATTGGCTCACTACTTGACTAGCCTATTGGTCCCAAGTAAATCGATTCACGTACCCCATTCTTGTACTACACTATGTTTGTTTTGATTTGCTATGAACATTTGACACATAAAATAGGGGGTTCGTGGATTTTCTTATGTTCCGAGGGGTGCATCGATTAGCTTGGGACCGAAGAGAGTACTAGAGCTGAGCCAAACAGTTGAGCTTGTTTCTTCGTGACCTTCTGGTCTTAGAGTTAATATCCAGAACTTTCCTTATGCATCCAGCTTTTATATTAGAAACGCATAAGGATTGACAGTTTTGTTCAGTATTTAAGGCTTAGTTTTTTTTTTCAGATAGTATTGATTAAAAAAACAAATCGATTTTCAGATCAGGTTACTCATGGAGAAACCATGAGTAACCACCATGAGAGGCCTTACTGGAACTAGACGTTGAGTCGCATTTTGAGCCAGGTGGATCGACCAGGTGTGAAGTTTCACGGAAGTCTTGTATCATACTAATTGTATTAAGCATTCGCATTTTCTCGGACACACAACCGACGAAATACTTTTAAGTAATGTATGAAGTTGAAAATAATACTCATAAACGGGAAGCAAGCATCGAGATAAGCTTTCAGTTCCGGAGTTTAGTTTATCTTCCGGAGCAGGGAATGTCCCTGTGCTGAGGTCAACATTTATAAACCGTTGACTGCACGTTTAGCACCCGTCAGACGAGCAACGGACGGACATTTTAATAATTAAGACATCTAGAGTGCCTCTTCAACCAAGAGTAGTGACGCAGATGGTTAATGGTAGCAGCAAAAGGAGTTTGGAGAAATCCTCGGTTTGCTAAGCATTGCTCAGGAACCTACGTACACTTTTGTACTTTCTCCGAATAAGGTGGTAGGTATATTTTTTGCTTGTTTTCCATCGCAAGACCACATTTTTACGAAGCGTAAAATTGCTGTCGGGCCCGGCTGAACTTGCGTGTTTGAGTCTTTCCGTTTAATTCTCCGTGGAAATGCTGCAGTATCCCTCGATGAGGCAAAAGATTGTTTTTTCCCGTGATTCGTTGGGGTTTATCTATGGGTTCACGTGAATTGTTTTTTTCTTTCTTTCGTTTTGATGTGTGATTGCTTCGTTTCTGGCATTGACAGGCGTTTATTTGTTAGAAGCGATTGTAGGTATGGCAACATCAATGGTTGAGCTCAACCAGATTTATTATAATCGAATCACATTCCCCTGCACCGTATTGTGTGACATTTCGAATTCCAAACGCAGTTATTCATCCCGTAATAATCCCTTTCTTCACTTCTTTTCGAACTCATTTCAGCTCCGGGCAGTGAGAAATAGTTGAACCGCATCTCCCGTCATTCAGTGATCCGGAATACCGCATTCAATTGACGAACAAAACCACAACACAACACTCAACTCTCAAGTCAGTGGTTGGACGACGACGACGACGACGACAGTCGTTTTGTCGATTCTAAACACAACCTAATTGATGGATAATTCAAGTAACACACTCACATTCGGCTCACTCTCAGTTGCAGCAGCGGAGCCCGGACGGACGACGAGCACGGGCATCTTTGATTTTCGGAGCAGCAATGGAGGAAGATTGAGTGATCCGTATAATTTTTCCCTCCGAGGAAATTCATTCTTGCAGTAGGTTGAAAAGTTTAGTGCGTGTGTGTTTCGGGAAATTGTCACACGAGTGTTTGGCGTTGCGAGTGACACGTGCCCAGTCGGGGGAGGAAAATGAAGATTTATGATCGGTTAACGCGTGACGGAAAGTTGTCGTTATGCTGCTCGATGGCAGCGTTTGGTTGGATTGAGGCGATAAATTAGCGAAAGTTGGAGGAGCAGTGGGAAGGGAAGCGTAAAGTGCTTCGAAGATCACGTGAATTATTAGAGGAGTGTTGCCTGCAATTAGCCGACGAGAAGCATTGGATTAGTGTCAGTGGCAGATAGGCAGACGAACGGAGAAGAGGAAGAAGTGTGTGGGTTGTGATTGGGTCGTAAATCCAGCCTCCAGTGAGGAAGAAAGAAAAATAAATACGAAGGGATGGCTTGAGCAGGAAAAGGCATAACTATAATTCCTGGTGTCAGAAGTTTATAAATAATCGTGCCGGGAGTTGGCGAGCTACTCAGTGATTAAGTCGCCGGTCAGTGGTTTAGCAGAAGTTGGAGAAAAGCAGCTGAGCGCCGGTATTATCTGAGTGCAGGGAAACAGCAGAGAGCAGAATGGGCTGCGGGCAGAGCAAGATTCATCTCTACCCGAGGAAAAACAAGAGCAAATCCAACGGCAAGAAAAGTGGACACAGTAAGTACACGTATGGCACCGAGAAGTTATGGCGGTAGTTACAATTCCAGTTGCGTTGCCCGCTATACAGCAGGGTACCATAAGCTGTAATTCTCTGGGGGTAAATTTATTGGATGCATTTTCTCATCCGTTTGGAGCTGCTGCTGGTGTTAAGGCAAAAAGCTGTCCAGGGGAAAATGAGATTAGCATTAATCATGACGGTATGCGCTTATGCTTCTCGGCAGCAGAACAGAGGAGCGTTGTCGCATTTTTTATCCGTTGGTTAATTGTGTGAAAAATGATCATCGTTTTTATTTGTTCAAGGCTGACAGATAGTCTCTCTGCTGAAAATACATTTTTGGACCAATTCGGCAGCACTCAATTTCAAACTCATCGGCACCTTCACTACGAACTCGAGCGATCCAGTACCTTTAGTTGCTGAGGAGAAATCTGTCACTGTTGTCAAATTTTTCAAATGAAAATGAAATTACCTTTTCCCCACTCGTCTCGTTTGGACCGTTCGAGGTCCATGGTTTCAGGCTGCGGATAGAAAGGATCAATTAGAGAAGATTATACATTTAAAGGATAAACTACTTCAGCTAATGGAAGGGCTTCGGCAGACTGCAGGGTTGCCAGAAAGGCAGAGACAACAACTAGCAGGATGATGGAAAATTTCATTTTGTTCGTTTCAGGAAAGCTTACTGATGTCAGTTGTAGCGAAAACGGTTGCTTTTATGGGACTAGATGTCTATTGTTTACCGGATCGAATTCGCTGCTTGCTTTTGATACGGTTCGAAATCAATCGGTTTTGGTGACTGGACTATGTGGATCTAAGCAGATGTTGTGAAACGTATTGTTTTTTTGTAAAGCGATTTGCTTTGGTCCAACTAAAATAAATAGCAATGGGTAGTTTGCAATGAACACAGTATACGTACCGTGACACATGAAATTATTGATTCCGTGTCAAAAAAATATGCATACTGCTAGCAAAGTGGAAAACATTCATTTTAAATGGTTAAGAGCGAAGCGAAGCGAAATGAAATAGAGGGGGACTTTAATTGCTCAATTTTCACACTGCCGTGCTCCAGCGGAACTGTCCATCTATCCTCTTCAGAACTTTCTCTAGCTAATAAATTATCGCACTTAAGCTTCATATTGATATTAGACTAGCATTTCCTCCAAACTCTGAAAATCGTTAACTTCACCTATGAAATAACAAAACACTTTGATTGAATGTTGGAATTTAACTTTTCTCGTTATCTGCTCTGAGGAGAATCCATCCCTGTATAGGATCTCAACTTATTTCATATTACCGATTTCTCAAAAAAAAAAAAAAAAAACATTCAATCTTACATTTGCCGACATTTGACCCACTGACTCATTCGGTCTTATGGCTCCCATATCGAAGCTTTTTCGCTCAATACACAGAAACCTAGAAACATATGAATGGCCTGGAATAATCCTCTTTATTGGATCCTGTGCAAGCTGTGTTTGTGGACAATTTTTATCATCCAGTACGGGAAACCGCAGAGCAATTCCAGACCGAATTGCAAAACAAAAACTGTCTCGACCTTCTCTGATTTGCATTAAACTTAGCATAATTGCTTGCTATGGTAGGGGAAATGGCTCTAATGTTGAATCTAAGATTGGGCCCATCGCTAAAAATCTGCTATTTATCAATTTTATCTAGATGAACGCGTCATTAGGACGGTACTAATGGATATTTTTGGTCACTATTGAAAAGTTAGTCGATTGCTGAATTTATGTATGGACCTAAACTAGGGGCATTTAGGCCGACATTACATCCATTTCCCCTATATAATTCATATTTGAGCAAAATTTAAGCCATTTTGAATCTTGTAAATTGGTAGGGTTTTGTACAAGACACGACCGAATGGTTGACGTAGACTACGTTGAGATGTTTAGTGAACTTCTAGTGCATTTTTCTTGATATTAATTTAAAATACAGTAGAAGTAACTTATTTCCTCAATTTACTCCATTTCCTCTCCTTGACATGTCAATTTCCTCACCCTTATTTTTCTGACTGTTTTGGACTTTCCGTTAGGGATATTTCCGCATATGAAACACTTGTCTTTAATCCTCCGTTATAAAATAAATTCCCCGTGCACACTTCAATGCCCATCCCATCTCCGTTGAACATTTTTTATCCCAGCCCAAGTAACATTGTAAGTTTTGTTGAGGTTTTAAAGCACTCTAAATGTCTAAATCATAGTCTACAGTACCCTCATAAAACCCAAATTGTTACTTGGGAGGTTACCAATAAGCCCGCTGATTTGGTTTGTTAATTAAAACTAACATACGACTAATACAGGGCTTTGGCGCATTATTAGTCGGATTATAACTAAGCAGGATTGTTGGTTACTTGAGATTGCCCCCTCACTTTCTTTCCATCAGCATAATCGAAAATTTGATATTCAGAGTTGTGCTTTCACACAATAAGAAAGTTTGGTCTATGTTCAATATTTAATCATAATTTGCTACTTCAAGCAATTAAAAATTTATCCATCCAAGTAGGATTATAATTCTAAATGTTCATTAAATAGCTTAACGTAGGAATTTATCCGCAACTCCAAACTACAAGCATTTAGAAATATATCTTTTAAGTTTTTGCCATTCCGCTCCAACCCATTTTCAGAGTTTTAATTTTTGTTGGACCGAACTAAACACAGCACTACCCAGAAACTCGTTAATCCACTTGGTGCATGAATTTTGTAACAAACAACAATGTAAAGCTCTGCTTAAATATGTAAATGATTTTTTTCTGGATCCTACTTCAACACAGAAACGGCCCAAAATCATCAAAATTCAGTTCGCCAAGCAGAATCTCACGAACACTAGCGTGTAAATTCATAGGATTTTGACAGTTCTTATAGTAATGCATCTGTAATTTGTATACAACATCCGAAGTCCCTCCTTTTTAACATATTCTGCAGAAAAAATACATCCGAAGTCTCTCCTTTTTTACATATTCTGCAAAAAAACTACTTTGTAAGCCCCGCCCCTGGCAGGGTTTCCAGCAGCCATGGTAAAAACACTGAACCCTTTTGCACGGGTGGCAGTTTTGCCTACAAACACACCACCAAGAGCATTGAGTTTTGCGCTCCGTACCAGTGCTCAATAGAAAACACCAAATGCAGCGAACAAGGCACCGGTACCGGTGCCCGTGCATAATTTTTTGCACCGGTGTATGGATCTTCGGCAAGCACCAAAGCCGTGTGTTTCTGACTTCGGGAAACACCGCAGCCGAGTGTTTTCGATTTCGGAAAAAACGCTTGCTGCTCGTAGGAATTTTCTTTGGGCGACTTCAGAAAGATTATCGTAGCTCCTATGCGCCTTTAGCATCTTCTGTCTCGGCTAAAGCTGATAGACGAGTGGTCAAAGCAACATTTCCATAATACCTTGAACAGGTTCGATTGCAGTCTGTACCTTCCAGTTTTTTGTTGTCAATATTATTTTCATGAGATAAATCTATGAAATTCATTTTGATTTCTTTTGGCTAAAAAGCATTACGCAATATTATAAAGCTTATGAGCTCAAGGGATCAACTACCAGGGTTTTTAAAAATACACAAATCACCCACTTCGGAAGAGCGTGTTGCTGTTGCCGTCCACCCACTGGTATTTCTTGGCTTTACATCAAATAATTTAGCTGATTGATTTAATTTGATTAGAGTCAATATAATAATCATAACTTATCTCCAACCAAACCAAACAGCTCAACTGATTGAATAATAGTAGAGATATATGGGGTGTTTACATAATATTATATTACATGCTGGTTCACTATTAGATAATAAATAATATATTATATGCTGGTTCACCAGCTCAACCAACTCAACTAACTAGCACGAATTTCAGAGGCTCCTGAAATCTCATGCTGGTAGATGCTGTCGTCCTGTTTACATTATGCTGACTATTTATAAGTACAGCTTTAGTTCACTAGCATCAGCATATCAGCACAGATGTAAACACCCAAATAGCGGTGGGTGAACAGAACTACTCACCATTCATGTAGGGTAGAACAGCCCGAAATGCACCCAGGGCCAAACACCCGTTTTGATTTTTCATAACTATTCCACTGTTAATTTTGCCGAAATGCTAAGTAAAGTACTAAACTAGCACTGTAACTTGTCCAATTTATGAATTAAAACGGGAATGCTAAAAACGCGCGCAAGAAGGATCGCATTCTACCTTCTACTAGCTCCATATCAGCCATGGTAGCTGTTTTGTTGTTGTTGGATATAAGTTATCGTTATTAGATTGACTCAAATCGTGTGAAAACAATCAGCTCAATAAGTTAACATAAAGCCAAGAAATACCAGTGGGTGGACGGCAACAGAAACACGCTCTTGCGAAGTGGGTGATTTGCGTATTTTTAATAATCCTTGTAGATGATCCTTTGAGCTCATAAGATTCATAAGATTGCATTACGCCAAAAAAGAAATCGAAATGAATTTCATAGATTACCTTTTGAAAATAATGTTGACAGAAAAAACTGGAGAGTGACATATCGGAATCGATCCATGGACATTGGAATTATGAGACCAGTGTTTCGACCACTTGTCTATCAGCTCTAGACGCATTTAATTGCTACCTTGTGTAGCAACATAATCTTTCATAAGTCCCCAAAGAAAATTCCTGCGAGCAGCTAGCGTGTTTTCCGAAATCGAAAACACTCGGCTGCGGTGTTTCCCGAAGTCAGAAACACTCGGCTTTGGTGCTTGCCGAAGATCCATACACCGGTGCAAACAATTATGCACGGGCACCGGTACCAGTGCCTTGTTTGCTGCTTTTGGTGTTTTCTATCGAGCACTGGTACGGAGCGTACAACTCAATGCTCTTGGTGGTGTGTAAAAAAGGCAGTACGCAGTGTAGTGTTGCGTTTAGACATGCCTGGTTTCCAGCCGTTTTTTTATGAATGGGGCGTGACAGAAAGTATCTTTTGTCCAGAGTATGTTAAAAAGGGTGGACCTCAGATGTTATTCTAATTGCATATAAAG